GGAGGTGGCCAAAATTTTTGCATTTATAACATTGTGGTTTCCCTTGGCACCAACAATCTTTCTCTAGATGATTTCGCCTTTCAGAAATTATGTACTTTCTTGTATTTTCTTCCACACTTGAACTTCTATCAATGTTGCTTCTACACCTTCCCCTTGATGAATTTTTTCCTTTTCCTCTTCCTTGTCTACCACCTCTTGATGATTCCCCTCTTGTTTATTCATTACTTGATGATTCTCTATGACTTTTAGAATTCAAATTAACTTTTGATTGGAATGCACTCTCTAGAGGCTTCTCTGATTGTTTTAACAACCTTTGTTCATGAGCTTTCAAAGAATGCATCAATTCTTAGACACTTATTTCAGAGATATCCTTTGTTTCTTCAATTATTCCCACCATTGTGTTATATTTTTCTGGTAAACTAACCAAAATTTTCTCAACAATTCTCTTTTGTTCAACTCTTTCACCATATGATTTCATTTGATTGACAATCTCCGTCAATTTAGAGAAATAATCAGTTAAAGTTTCAGATTCTTTTATCTTCAAATATTCTAACTCCCTTCTAAGAGCTTGGAGTTTGATGATTCTTACCTTTTTATCTCCTTGAAATTCTTGTTATAAAATGTCCCTTGCTTCCTTTGATTTCTTGGCTTCAATGATTCTTGGAAACAACTCATCAGAAAGTGCTTGTTGGATGAAAAAGAGTGCTTTAGCATCCTTTTTTCTGGTTTCCTCTAGCTACTGCTCTTGTGCTGAAGTTAATGTAGTTGTTAAATCAGGTTCATCATACCCATTTTGTACCAAGTTCCATAATCTTGGGACTGAAATAAGGTCTTCATCCTCACACACCAATAATCATAAGTTTCTCTAGCAAAAATGGGCATAGATGGTTGCTGCATACCTATACTTTGGTTGCTTGAGTTAGCCATGGAGATTTTCTGCAAAACCCCACTTTTCTTTTTCACACACCTTCTATTTTCAGCCTTTCTTTTCAAATCCAAGCTTCTACTTCGAACTAGGCTCTGATACCACTTTTATGTTGGGTGTTTTGGAAGCAAGTGTGTGTTTAAACTACAAAGAAATCAATCTAAAACACACAAAATCATATCTGATATTTTTTGGCAGAAAATAGAGAATAAGAGGATGAGCAAAACAGGAGAGAAGAAAGGTCACAATTGAATAGCCCCTTAAGCAGATTTTTCTATTGCCTTTCTAGCTTCTCTTACAAACTTTTGTATGTGAAATTATATCAATCCTAGTACCAATAAAACATTTGGTCAAATTTCCTCCACATAAATCAAAGGGTTATTTACCAACAAATCCCATTTCACAAACAAGTACTTCAATTAGTCCCAAGTTTTTTATATTGATCTATTAAGTCCTATTAGTGGAGAGTTTCTTTCTGTGTGGTCTTATTTTGGATTTTGGTAGTGTTTTAGTGGACAACTATACCCTTTTATTAATGTGACATGTATGATGTGATATTCCAATGTGGCAGGTATTAATGTGACACTCTAACGATGTGACACTCCAAAAAAATTAAAAATTCCTTAGTGTACTTTTCGTAAATGTGACAACGTGGCCGGTATGATGTGACACTTCAAAAAAAAAACTCTTTAATGTACTTTCCCCTAATGTGACAATGTGGCGGGTATGATATGACACTTCAAAAAAATAAAAACTTCTTAGTGTACTTTTCTCAAAGGTGACAACGTGGCGGGTATAATATGACACTCTAAAAAAAAAAAAAACTTATTAGTATACTTTTCTCAAACGTGACATATGACACTCTAACGTGGTGGGTATGATATGACATTTTAAAAAAATTAAAAAATATTTAATGTACTTTTCCCAAATGTGACACTCTAACTTGACAGGTCGAGTAATAAGGGGAGAGAGTGGTCCGTGTGTCACATGCAATGCATCAACCCTCAAAGCAAAAAGTATAAAAAGCCTTTAGTGTACTCTTGTGTTGTGTGTCACCTAACCACGCGCATAACGTGGCAAGTTTTAAGCATACACCGAATAAAAACCTTACATAAAGTAGCCCGTGATTCACCTAATGGCACTTGTGTCTTTTCCACAATAGAGAGGACCGAATGGATCACACACAAAAAACTAGGACCAAATGGAACACAAGATCAACATTTAGGATTTATAGGTTAACTTCCCCTAAATCAACTCTAATTAACAAAACCCAACGCAAAACATAACTAGAATTAACTAAGCATAATTGATTGTTTGGATACAAAGTTAAACAAGCATATTACATCAACAACAACAAACGACTAATTAAAAATAAAACAATAATAATAATAATAGTAATAAAAAAAGGAAATTTTGATATAGCCACAATTGAAAGGGGTGTACCATATGCATATCTAATTATGTTAATTCTTTTTAGTTATGTCATAATTTTTTTCTTTAATTATGACATTATTTTAATTATGACTCATGAATTTTTTAGTTATACTACATGTTGTGTTTAGTTATGACACTTTTATTTTTATTTTTAATTATAACTAAAAAAGTAAAAATAATGAAAATTAGTCTAACATTCTTCTCTAACTTTGAGTAGTAAGAGAGATCCACAAAAAAATTTTCTGTTAGATAAGGTCTCTTACATTCTTTATTTCTATTTTATTCAAAAAAAAATACGAACTTTACCCTTACTCCTCTTTCTTCTCTCTCTACATAGTTGGGTCTCTCTTCTTGCTCTCTCATCCATCTTTCTGATCTTTCTCTTCCCAAACCCTAAAACCCAAATCCACTACTTCCTTACTCTCCGACACCACCACCTTCGCCTCCTTCTGCTTCGACAGTCCCTTCATTGTCGCTGCCGGCTCCCACTTCGGCATTGTCTTTCCATTTATCTTCTCTTAGCTCTTTCTCTACAAATTTGGAACTCTCCACCAACTCACAATCTTCTCTTTCAAAACCCTAAAATCTAAATCCACCATCTCCTCATTCTTTGACACCGCCACTTCCGCCTTCTTCTGTTTTGGCAATCATTTCATCACCGCCGACCTTGTCCACGTTTCCGACGCTAAGTTCAAAACCTCCCTCCACAACCTTCCCAGCCACGTCTGCCCCATTTACCTTATCTACTATCATGAGGATAGGCCATTTATCTATTTGCTAAAGAATAAGAAGTTGATGATTATGGACAACAATAAACTCATGGATTTGAAAGAATTTGGAGAACTTGTTAAAATTTCTCTAGACTTATACCAAAGAAATTTCACTAGACTTATACTAGGTAATTCTCTAGACCTATATCCAAAATTTCTTTGGATCTATACTAGAGAGTTTGAAAGGCCTCTTGAAATTTCTCTGAATTTATATGAAGTAAAATTAATTTGAATTTTTCTTCATAAGGAAATTTGTCTAAAATTTGCCTATATCTGAAATTTGTCTGTCATGTTGATCTTCTTTGGTCATCACACACTTGCAATCTGAAAATTTCTCTATCATGTTGATTTTCTTTAAAATTTCTCTGTAAATGTATTCAGAGAAATTTACTTACATATTGATTTTCTCTAACATATTTGATTTTCTCTAAAATTTCTCTGCCAATGTAGTCAAAGAAATTGACTTGTATATTAATTTTCTCTAACACGTTTGATTTTCTCTGAAATTTCTCTACAAATGTAATTAGAGAAATTTGCTTGTATGTTGATTTTCTCTAACATATTTGACTTTTTTTGAAATTTCTTTGCAAATGTAGTTAGAGAAATTTACTTTTATGTTGATTTCTAACTCAGTGAAATTGTGTCTTTTTTTTTTTCCTTCTAAATTTCATATTCATCATTGATCTTGTTTGATAGATCTCAATGAGAGCATTCCAAAAATATAATTTTTTGTTGAAAATAAACATCTAAATCAAAAGTTATTGAATTTTTAAGTTTTCAAAAATTTCAACTTGTGAAGACATTAATGCTAAATGTAAAATGTAAGGGCATTTTGGTCAACAATTTTGGATGTAAAAGGCATGTCAGGGGAAATTCTATTTCCACACACTTGATTACCTCAGTGCACATTTTTTTCTCAATACACACACTTATTAATTTGTTTATTGATTAATTTTCTCAATTTACACATTAAAAATTACAATTATATCTTTCAATCATAACTATTGTACACACACCATTTAACCCTCATCCTCTTTTATTCTCAATAACCTCAATTTCTTTGCTACCAGAGTTCCCAAACTAATTAATGCCTTCAATGGGTATACCAAATAGCCCCTGAACTTCTCTACCATCAAGAATCTTCGTTTGACCATGAGCTCCTTTACCGCCAAGATCGATCTCTGTGAGATACAGATATAACGCAACGGGTAAAACAATTCAAACCATACCTTATGTGATAGAATCCGAAACGAAGAACCTTGTAGGTAAATCACGTGCTTCACAACCATGAACTAAGAACACCCAGCAATAGAGTGATACCACAGTATAAGTATCACCCACTCTAGTCACAGTACAAAGGCTCGATCGTTATTCTAATGGGAGAGAGTTAAAGAGAGAGTATGGGAAAAATTCATTCGTTATTTAGTTCATCCCACATTCCATATATCGTATCTGATATATAGGCTGATCATCTAACCATCTATCCATATTTCTTGATAAGATAGGATAGATATAGATAGTGATAGTGAGTTATCCAAATAGAATAGTCGTGAAAATTCAAATTCAAATTACATGGGTAATTTGAATGGGTCATGGGTCATGCCACATGGGCGCTCAAATCCGGGTCCAATACCCGGTCCAAATTCCAACAATATGTAACTGACATAACAAGAACAAACAAAAAAATATTGAGAAAATATATTAACATAGAAATAGGAATACTGTTACATAAAAGAAATTCAAGAATTTAAGAGACCAATCCCAACTCAAACATTCATCCGCAATCCCAAGTCTGTTGATCTGGATTGTGTAGAAGCATAAAGGTCTTTCCACTGTTCCCAAAACATTAAAAAGAATTCTTGTCAAACACCATGACTCAGTTTTCTTATACTGCTAAAGTTGTAAGTCTAACTGAGACTATATGAGCACCTTGACAGTTGTTTCGGCACCAAATCACTCAAAAATAATAATAACAAAGAAGAAAAAAAGAAAAAGAAATACTTCTTTAGCATCGTGTTGGCTGCATCCATGTTTTACGAAAGAGTAGTACAATTAAAAATCCCTAATAGGATTGTATGTAAGTATGGAAACCAGTAACCACCCAATGAAAGTTGTCAAAGAGTAACAAATTGCATATTAGTGACTCATCTTCTAAATATACCAGGAGCAAAGGGAGTTAAAGGTAAATCTATTGGATATCCTGAAAACTCTATTGATCAAAATAAAATAAGTTATGAAAAATGCAAAGCTCCCATGTTTTACGTAAACCATAATTTTTAGGGAAAATTTACTTTGCCCCCTCAAACTATCACTCTAGTGTCATTTACCTCCTGAACTATCAATTTGAACAAGTACTCCCTTAAACTGTTAACATTAGTTCACTTTACCCCAAACCGTTAACGGGGTTAAAAATTTTGACGGATTATCGCACCTGCTCATGTTTGCTTCAACTTTTGGGGTGCTTTGGGAGTTTTGTGTATATGTATATATATTGGGGCTGCAATTTACAGTCCAACCTAAGCATCCCCTTTCTCAGGTGTCATGACACAATAGGTCCAAACTTTGACTTCACCAACCAATTATAGTCACTTACATTAGTCTCTTTTAAGTTTTAATATACCATAAAATGGAGATATCATGTATGAGGTTTCAAAATTGGGATTAGGTTAAAATTTTGGACATTTAATGGGGAAATTTATTTGCCAAGTTGGGAAAAGTGTAAAAGCAGCAAGTAATTCTTTGTCCACCTTTATGAAGTGCCCATGTATCACTAGTGTACTCAGGCGTGATTCTAGAACACTGGAGATAATAAACTGGGAAAAATATCAATAATTTGAAGTGATATAGATGTCTCTATTGCTATTCTGATTGAGTTTATTTTGATGTTTTTAGCTTGGATGTGGTCATGGACTTCCTGGGATCTTCACTGGCCTTGAGGTAATTATTGCATTTTCTAGGTATTTAGTTCTTGGAATTAGATACCCGAAAATATCTGGTGGGTTTGGCATTGTGTTTTGTTCCATCAGGGTGCTGCTGTCATTCATTTCCAGGATTTTAATGCTGAGGTCTTGCGATGTCTGACCATTCCTAATGTAAATGCTAATCTTCTAAAGAAGTCTCAACCCTTGGCTACAGATGTGAGTGGGTGGAATACAGATGCAGAATTCCGTTTCTTTGCTGGTGACTGGAGTGAAGTCTATCAAATTCTTCCTTATGTACATACCAACAAAAAGGACCACAATTGTAGCCCAGGGCTAGGTCAGTCTGTTGGTTATGATGTTATCCTTATGGCAGAGACAGTTTACTCAATATCTGCTTTGCCTCATCTGTATGAACTTATAAAGAAGGTAACTTGTTCTTTGGTTTCTGATTCTTTCCACATCATTAAGTTCTTGTTACATGGCTCTAAAATTTTATATTTACAGTGCTTGAATCGTCTGAATGGAGTTGTCTACATGGCAGCGAAGAAGCATTACTTTGGAGTAGGAGGTGGATCGAGGCGATTTCTCTCTGTGGTGGATAAGGATGGTAAGCCTTATTAGATATATATATATATGTATTTATTTCACTAGGATATGTTTCTTTGTATCAGTAAAAGATCCTATTTTTAACACACCTATGCACAAAAACAGACTTCAGATTGGTGTTTAATTTTATGTTTCCATTCTACATGCTGCAATTTATTTCTAGAATATGGTTTTTGTTGTACATGAAGCCACATCAATATGTTTTAAATGTGTTGATACGTATGTTGTTTATGTGCACATCCATGAATTCCATTTGCATGCATAATATATTTCAAAGATTAAATTCACATTTTTCTTACCTTTTTCCTTTCCTTTTCCAAAAATCTACCCAAATCTATGATTCAAGCACAGCCTTGAGGATGCGTGCAGCCTATTTGTATGCTATAGGGTGTTGATAAGATGGTTCTCTTTCTCAGGTGTGATGGAAGCTAGCCTGGTTTCTGAAGTTGCAGATGGTTCCTCAAATGTCCGAGAGGTATGGAAACTTCATTTTAAGTAGATTTTGATTTTCTAGATGAAGGGACTGTCTACTCAAATTGTCACCTAGGTCCATAAGAGGGCCTGTTAACCAATGTTACTTTGTGCACAAAATTGATGTATGATTCCTGATCAGGAGAAAGTATTGGTTTACTTCGATTCTTCCATTACACTTTGTTCTACCTGATTCATATTTTTCATAACAATAGTCTGTTGAACTACAATTATGAATAGTAACTGGCAATGGACACATAATTTGCAATGCTATCAGGTATACTCTAACATAAAACAAACTATAATTACAAAACTCCAAGAGCGGAATGTATTTATGTTTTATCATAAATGCAGTTTTGTGAATTTTTTTTTTATTTTTTTGCCTTGAAGTTTTACCATTTGCATTATTACACATATTTTTTTATTTAATAATTAAAACATATCATTGATGGTAGGATAGCAAACAAACAAAAAAACCAAGTGTAGTTGTCATGAAAACATCTTTTAATAGTCTTTTCAAAAGAGAAAAAATCTTAATTTTACTTGATTCTAAATTGTTTTCCTGTACATTCATTTTTTTTTTTTTTGTTATTGTTTAATTTTAAAATTAATTTTTGATTATTTATTTAAGACCTTGCATAGTATGGGTATTATGCTTGTATATGTTATGAAGATGCATAAAATATAAAGAGAGAGAAGTGAATAAAAACAAGATTTTTTTTAATCTCCCTATTATTGTTAATTTTTATCCAAAATTTTCAATAAATGTCCCCCTTTTCATCATCCTTCTATCGAACTGCTGGAAAGCACTTGTGTAGTGAGCCACTACATTATCGTTTGTTTTGTGTATCACAAGTTCATAGATGATATGCAACACAGTACATAGGGGATTCTTAAGCATTTGTCATAAGCAAATAAGTACCAAACATGGAACATAGCTACAAATTAAAACATATGAACTTGATTTGATGCATAAGCTTTCTATTCCCCTCCCGTTTGTTAAATAGTATAACACATCATGTAAACAAAGTGGCCGGAGATCTACTATATAACACATCATGTAAACAAAGTGGCCGGAGATCTACTATATAACACATCATGTAAACAAAGTGGCCGGAGATCTACTATATAACACATCATGTAAACAAAGTGGCCGGAGATCTACTATATAACACATCATGTAAACAAAGTGGCCGGAGATCTACTATATAACACATCATGTAAACAAAGTGGCCGGAGATCTACTATATAACACATCATGTAAACAAAGTGGATGGAGATCTACTTCCTTGCCTGCACCTGTAGTACTCGGAACACCCTCTACTCTCAGGGTTAGACTCTTTAGGGAGACATGACTTGCTGTAAGCTTCACCACTTTTCCCACTATTGCATGCTGGTTGATCTTGCTTTAAAGCCCCATATGTTATGTGATTCGTTGTCTGCAGAAACCTTCGACTGACCTCTGACTCCATCAGCATCTCCATGTCTGCGTGACATTCTGCAATCGAGCCATTGCATTGTACACGTGCATCACTTGTAGTTACTCCAACACAACCTCCGAGACAAAGTAGGGAAAAAAAGCAGGACTAGATTCAAGAAAGCAGAGTGGAGGAGGGAGGGAGGGGTGTCAAATTTATGGTGGATGAGCTTGTTTCCAACTATTTCTTGGTCAACTTTTTCTTAAGTGGTGCCTAGTGGAAGCCACACTAGCAAATAGAGGAGGATGTGTTGCATTTTAGTAAATAGTCCTCTTTTTAAGGGGAAAAAAAGAATAGGCTAATATGTTTTACTTCTCAACTATACTAATATAACTTTGCCTCTATTAATTTTAAAACCCATACATTTTTTACCCTTGTACGACCCAAACTCGTCTCTATAGTTTTAACATCGTAACCGACCAGTTAAATCCTAAGATTACCGAAGGCCTCTAATAGATAAACAAAATTAGGGCTAGCCAGAAATACAAATACATATATAATTGCTCCAATGAGCTGTGCTGACTTATATAAAAAAGAATATTTAAAACTTTATATACAATGTCTAAAAGTCATTTTTACATTATACCCACACACATTATAGTCAAGCAAGAAGGATTAACCCCATATACAAAAACTTGTCTTAAACCTTGACAGGAGAAGAAAACAAAAGTTAAGTCAATCACAAAGCCTTGAACACATGACATTATTTTGGAAACCTTCACGGGCAGCGCAATGTTGGCTTTACAAAACAGAAGTCCAGACAAAAGTCTTAGGCCTGATCTCCAAAACGTTCACCTATACATATATATACACAAAGTGAACTAAAGCCCAGTGAATAACATTAAGGTAAAGAAGTTAGTTTGAACGAATTTCCGAACATTTCATAATCATAAAACAGAATCATAACATAATCATATCATATCTGAACATAATAATTGGACATCCAATAGAACATAGGCACATCGTCATCCGACTAGGTAATCGTTTCGCGATACCGATTAAATACATATCACCAACAATGAAGTGGCTAACGAGATCTCGTAATCACATATATGTCATGGACTTCGCATTAACAGTCAGCCCCATGACTTGGGACTATCTATGATGCCATAATTAGATTTCAAACATAGGACATTCTTCACGTAAATAAATATCATTTTCAGAAATCATAACTTATCAAATCACATTTGGAACATAATTCATATGAACATATCTTTACAATAACGTTACTCACAGTGGGCTTTTAGAACGACGTTGGTTAGTCTCCGAACGTCGACCTACAAACACAAATGTAAATGCAGAAAAACATTTCTCATTATCACTCATTTCATATGACCATACATGCCTTAGCTTTCTTAGCTTTAACTCTTATTCATTCCATTGCCACATAACTTGTTTGTAAATTCCCATATACTGGATTCGACACCATATTTTCTAATTCACTTACGTTTGATGTTTCTTAGCTTATTAATCCTTAATTGGCTCATAAAATCATGCCTTAAGAATGCCCGAAAAGAGATGGAGCCGAAAAGTATGTAACTTTAAAAATCTTTTGAAAAATATGCTGAAAATAAATTGGTGGCTAAAGCCAGTCTTTTCGTGGCTAGAAACTACTGAATGCAAAAACTGAGCATCGCTCGAGACACCACTCCTTCGCTCGAGCCAGCTTGCAGAGTTCAAAGTATTGGAGCTCATAATGTTGGCTCGAGCCACCACTTCGGTCACTCGAGCCAGCTGTGAATTTCTGAGCCACCAAGCTTACATAATGGCTTCCAAAACTACTTTCAAAACTGGGAGATCTTTGCATGATTTTGATCAATACTAAAATAGCTTTTAGAAAACTCCAATACAAGACCCTTAAAAACATCTTTTGTTCAAAAACCTCACCAATTTCTTGAAAGATTTGAACCAAAAACTCTTTCATGCAAGATTTTTTCGACATCTTCTCTAGTTTTTCATTAACAAATGCAAATGGTGATTCAACAAACTCATGAATTTTTGAAACAAATGGACATGATTTAAACTCACGTGTATTGCAAAAACTTTAAAACTCAAAAACTACAAATGATAAAACAAAGATGACTTACCATGAATGTACATGCAAGCCATCTACATGTTTCAAAGACCCATTTCCTTACAAATATCTGAAATTAGCCTCAATAAAACTAATGAACTTATTAATGCAATTTTGGAGGATTTACAGCATGAATTAGTCATAGAATTTCTCACCCAAAACTTTAATTTAAAAAATTGTGAGATGAATCTTTCCTAGTTTTCTTCCTTCTTCTTCAAACTTTTGAGCTCTCTCTCTCTTCTCTCTAGCTTGAACTCTCTCAACACAAAGAACCAAAAAGCAAAGGAATGATACAAACAAATCCCTCACTCAACTGAATATACACAACACACACCTCACTTCTTGAGCCACAATACCCGTGCACACATATGCAAAACTCCAACACACACCACACCACACTAGGTTTTAATCCCCTACTTTTCAACACCATCACATGCCTCAGCCACATCATACACTTTAATCACCACTTGGATCATGGATAGATTAGATAGGTACCAATTCATGCCATCATTTTAATTCAAACACAAGTAACCTTAATTAATCAAGGTTAGCACATGATTCAATTAATCAAAAATAGTCCAATTTAAGTTTCAATTTAATCACATGTGATTTTCTAAACTAAATAATTTTTAACAAAACTTCTCATTATGGTTCCAAATATTCTAGTTAGTCAATCCATGAACTCAAATTCGGTTTCTGAAAAGCATTAAGCTCACAAATTTCAAAATTCAAATTCAAATTCAAAGCAGAAATCATGACAAATAGTTTTCAAATCAGACAGATATGCCACAAATTACTTACAAAGCCACCATATCACAATTAATAATAAACACAATAATTCCATTTCTAAAACACTTAGTTTAGCATTCTTAATACCAAATTAGGTATTTATTTACGCATTGGGGTCGTTACAACCCTTCAATTCACATTCAAACCTCCAGGAGGATATTTGCACAAAGGTTTTCGAGTTGAGGGTTAGTATTTATTAAAATAAAGAAAATTACATGTGGACAATGAATTTAGTTCAGCAATCCGAAGCAACCAACCTAATAAATATAAGGCCCCATAACCGGAAAGAAATAAACTAATAACAAAGCTCAACAACAAACTCAATAAAAAATTTCATAATAAGGAAGAAATTATCAATTTTTGCCTTTGAAATAGATTCCTACCTTTCAAATAACAAGTGCACAAAGTAACCAACTGAACTGTTGTTGTTTAGTCGGATCTGTACTCCGAGACTATGGTGACTACTGACTTAGAATCGTGGAAATCCAGTGGACTTGTGTGGATTAATTATTACTCATTTCTCTTGAAATTGATTCTCCATTTTGCAAAGTCAGTCTTAGGCATTGGAACTCCTTACTCCTCATCGTGAAGAGTTTTTTTTTATGGGGCTAAGTGAATTTACAGGTAAGAGGTTGATATTGAAAGAATCATGGATTAATGAGATCTTGCGTCCAAACACCATTTCAAAGGGCTTAGCCTTGAAGTGTAATGACATGTTTTCTTAATCAAAAAACAAAAAAAAAAAAAAAAAAGACTTTTCCAACAGAGCTTAGCTTTTGGTAGAAATTAATATTTACTTCAATTATAAATAAATTTTATCAATTAGGAGTTA